GGAAAAAATGAGTGACAAGAATCTGGAGTAGTGAATAAACATAAAGTTTTGTGTGAAAATTGGTAAACGTGCTAGTGAAACGTTACCCGTATTAACAGTGGCTTGTGGTGAATATGCTATGAAGTAATCGAGTATTTTTGAATGGCACAGGAGGTTCAAGGAAGGGCGAGATAATGTGCAAGATGACCCAAGAAGTGGGCAGCCAAAAATGCAAAGGACAGATGCAGATATGAACAGAGCACAAACAAACGGTGAATCAGCAGTATTATTTAGAAGTGCTGACAAGGTTATGGGAATCTGTTAGGAGGAAAAGACCTGAACTCTGGCCTGAGAAATTGTTTCTCCACCATGACAGTGCCCCTGCACATGATGCAGTAAGAGTTCGTGAGTTCCTGGCTAAGAAATCCATTACAAAAATGGACCATCCACCCTATTCACCTGACTTAGCCCCTTGCGATTTTTGGCTGTTTACAAAATTAAGAAAATTCCCTGCAGGGACAAAGAGTTGCCAACATTCCTGACATCCCACACAACGTGACGTTACTGTGAGGTATTCATGAAAACGATTTTCAAGACTGTTTCCGGCAATGGCACCATCGTCTCACGAGGAGCCTAGCTTCCCAAGGAGAGTAATTTGAAGGTGACAGCAGCTGCCAGCACACAGGTAAGTTAAGTTTTTCTTTCACAGGACCATCCCAAGAATTAAATTGTTGCACCTTGTACAAATCTGTTGTTGCAAAGCTAATCAAACTTTAGATTCGTCATTATCATTGTGCGTTGGTATGGATTAATTTGTGATAAAGCCTCCTCATTTCTCTTTTATCCCTCCATAAGCACTTCTCTTCTTTATGTGTCCGTTCCTTCCCTACTCCACATCATATATTTTCCTTTGCTTGGTCTGTCCACTTAATCCATTGTCTCTTTTTCTTTAATTTTAATTTTAATTAATTTGTAGCTAATATGAGTGAGGTTGGAAATAAAAAGTGAAAAAGGGCTAATTAAAATTGTTTTCATCCCAAACACTTCTCGATCTTGCAATGGGTGTGATTTCCAATAACCAAACAAACAGCCATTTTTGAAGATCACTGTGGAAGGTACAGTACTACTTACCCTAAAACATTAGCCAATTGCGCTGTTCAGTGTTCTTTCTCCAGATGTGAGGAAGAAGTGCCAGTTTATACCTGTTCCACTTTTTTCTCCTCTCTTTCTTCAGATTAGCTTTGTAAGTAATCTCCAACCTTCTCCCCTTTAAATATATATAAGTAAATAATGTAATTCATTATTGTGCTTCAGGTTTTATGTGCTTTATCAACTGCCAGGGTTAAAATTCTTGGATTCAAAGAGAGTCAGCTCAGAAGAGCGTAAAGAAGCTCAATGTAGAGGGAAGTTTATGAAGATTGTGCGTCCAGAAAGTTCTCCTGTACGTATGTGATATCAGTATTTTAGTGTAAATGTATGTCACTTTTGTGAGCTAAATGAAATTGGATATGCTATATTTACAGGTTCAGAGGTCACTGTTAGAAAATTCGGTATTTCATTTGCATAAATATTTTCAATCACTTTTCATCACATTAAGAAGCTTCATCACATAGAATCCATAACTACTGTCATAAAATAATCTGTTGTTTCTCAAATTGTTTCTTCTCCTCCTCCTCCTGCTTCTTCTTCTTGCAATTTTCCCAGTTTTATTAGCCAGCTTTCCTTTCTTGAGGTATAAAGTATGCTTACAAGCCCATCATGCCCTCTGTGTCTCCCTTTCCACTTCTGAACCAGTTGACTGATTTTCACAAAATTTGATATGAATGAACATTTGATTTAACTTTCTTTTGACAGTGATAATGGTCTAGAAATAAAACAATTTTTTTTATGAAAATGGATTTTAAATGGTCTCAAAAATTATGTCTGACACATTGGAAGTTAACAGTTATTACCAGGGCCCGGATTTTAATGACCTGAAAATATTTAAAAAATGACCTAAAGTATGACCCAAAAATGTAATATGCAGGGCCTGGATTTTGATGACCTGAAAATATTAAAAAAATGACCTATAAAATGACTGAAAAAATCCAGAAGAATGACCTAAAGGAGAAAAGAAAGAACACTTCACTTCCATGTTATTCACATTTCAGAAAACATATGTAGAAAAATTCCTTAAAATGGCCAAAAATGATAAGAAATACCCTTAAAAGTCCAAAAAATTACCTATAAAATTTACATTTCTGTAACCAGCAGTTCATATCCGAGATTTTTATTTTAAGAGCATCGCATAGGATACAAGGGGAAAAAGATGACGTGTCATCAAAATCCGGGCCCTGCTTATTACAGTGGTGACATTGCAAATCTTTTCAGATCGTAACCAACAAATGTAATGTATATAGAGCTTGTATGTAAGTAATGGGCAGGAGCAGCAGCAGCAGAAATCTGTATCATATTTTGATTTGAGTTGAGTTCAGTAAAATGAGTCCACTTATGAGCCCGATGTATTACCTCATTTCATGACCAAAATTACATTTTGCTGTTAGATTGTGAAGTTACATTACCTAAACATAACATTAATGACATATGATTGGAAATCTGTGCAGTAGGAAAGTAGGCTTCATATGTTTTGCTCAAAATTCCTAGATTTTTTGATCACATAAGCTATTACATCGCTGTTGATAGTTCTTTCTTAAGATTGCCTCCTCCTTTCAACTTTTTCTCACTTTCTTTCTTTCTCCATTTGTTCCTCTTCTTGTTTTTCAGAAGGATTAATAGATTCCTGACTTACATTCCCCAAACCTTGCTATATGTTTATATCATCACAGGTCCCCTCTTAATTCTCAAGCACACAACATTCTTTTACTACATTGTTTCTTTGTTTCGTTTCACACACAGTTACCATCTAGTAATCATAAACATCTCGAGATTTTGTATTTATTGATAACTGCATTCTTTGTCTTTATTTTGCATGAAGCATTCTTATCCATAAATTGGTGTCCTTTCAAATAAAGCACAATATGTCATATCCATAATACTTCTGGTAACGTATTTATTACTGTTCAAGCTTAATGCATTCTTACATTTTTTTACATGAACCAGTGTTCTTTGTCATTCTGGCATATGTTAGTGACTAGACGCAGGGTTTGGATTGATGATTGGATTTATTGAAGGTTTATAACTTGTAATTACAAATCATTGTAATGCTGTCACCAATCTACACACTTTCAAATCACAATAGCACATGTTAAAACTGTCTGTTACAGTCTTGAGTGGTCATTGCTGAGTAGTGGCTCCCAACAGTAGGTATTCCTCTGCTTCTGTTCTCATGTCTATACTGGCTGGCAACTGTCTCACCTCTTTCAAATGCAGCTGACTCACTTCAGAGTCAAAGTCAAAGCTACTTTACAACTGGCGGTTTACCACCAGTCAGTTCATCTTGGTGTAAAACCCCTTGGGACCAATGACTACAGTTTATTTTTTTTCAACTGAACCCTTTTGGCAATAGTCCTTATGTAACATCCTCTCTGACAAGAAGATGCGTTTGTCTCTTATGAATATGCTTGGCCTTTCATCAAGTGTACATATCACAGATATAGCATGTTATTGAAATTTCTTCCTTTTTTGCTACACACTGTCAGTACAGGCTTTGCAAAGTAGATCATGCCTATCTTACATATCTTATGCTATAACAGCAGCTTAGTCACCATAATGCTCGTAAGCTTGACCACCGCCAAGTATAACCCTCTTAAGAGTTAATTTATGACGGTTTACCGCGAATCAGTTCAACTTGACTACAAGCCCTTTGAGAGAGACGACCAGGATTTTTATTTTGCAACTGAACACTTGCAGTTATAGTCTTTATGTAACATCCTCTCTGATGAGAGGATGGGTCTGTCATTTACAGTTGCTGCTAGGCCTTGCCAGCGCAATCATTATCAGGTCTGAGTCCTGCGGGACTCAAGACCACATTTTACTGTCTGAGATTTGAGGCTTCCTCAACCTGGAGGGTGAGGTCCCTGTATTTATATCCCCCATGACTGGTGGCCTGGTTATACACCCCCCCCCCCCNNNGGTTCCCTTTTTGTCGCCTTCTAAAACTCGAAGGGTTACAGTGGAGGTATTTGATCCCGCCTTCACATGGGATACTCACTTGTCCCTTTATATATATATATAGCATTGGAATTGCCTGCATAGAAAATAAGCATGGGCCACATCTAAAACACTGCATCATAGTCATTTACTGCCTGTTGCATAGCAATGGCCCATGTGCTTTCTGGCCATTGCTTAGCAATGATTGCCTATTCTCTGCTGTGCCAACTTTTAGCCATTATGTCGACAGTATTTATTGCTATTCAGGCCTAATTAGTTTTTATTTTTCTTTACATGAACAACTCTCTTGTTCTTCGTCAGTCTCAGTTTTGTTACCAGAGCTGTCGTCAACATGCACTGACAGTTTCATTTGAGTGGGTCATTCCATAAGAAAGCTTTCTTCTTTCTTTTTATTCACCCACAGGCATTCTTAGGTAGCCTAAATACATAGTCATAATTATGTAATTTGTTACTTAGGTGTCACACAAAGGCAACATGCATGATTGCAGCCCACCTTCTAACTACACTCCATTGCCTACATCTTCAAGAGGTATTGGTGACCATCAAGGTAAATTCAGCAATCTTATGAACATCTTATTGAATCAGTGAGATGCTCTTTGATCTCCATGAAGTACATATATGTTTTACATTTGAATGAATCTCTCCCCAGTATCAGAAGAGTTGTGAAAAGAAATAGACCTGTTCTCTTCTAGTAAAGGTAAAGAGGTAGAGTTGTCCCTGTGCTTAACTAATTAAGCTCTATGCCATGAAGATGTATGGGAGAGTGGAGGTATAGATCCATGTGTTCTTGACCTTGGCACTAGTTGGAAGTGAGTGGTCAGTTTACGTCCCAGCCGCATTACCCTGCCCAAAGAGCCCCTGGGACCTATTGTATTGGAGACTGGATGAGTAAATCATTGAAGCCAGCAAGGTATATTTGCTAGATCTACCACAGTACAGTCTTGGTGATGAGATACTGGTTTTCTGTTATGTATAGTTCATACACATGCAGGAAAATGATCTAAATTATTTGGCCAGAACTTATAAAATGTATCACCTCATTATTTGTGGTTTTAAATGGAGAGGTGGTAAATGCATAAAAAATTTTAGTTTGAAATCCCCAAGGGTAATGTTGTTATGAAATTTCATGACAAATTCAGGAACTACCAGCTTTGTGAGATAGATTCTGTGTGACGTGGTTGTTATGTATGGAGGCATTAACATTGAGGGTGATGTTTCTATTTAGTATTGAGATTCCCTTGGCCTGGAATGCAGACTGCAGAATGTGTATGCATGTACCTTGTACTGAACTTAAGTTTGGGTCTTTCTAATACCACCTTAACTAATGTGCTTTCAGGTGCATATGGGAAGTGCCGCTATCGTTATTCTGGAAAACACTCGGAGGGCAATCGATTCATCCAGAATAGTGATCTCTAAGGTATCTAGAACTGCATATTCAGCATGGAGCTTGCTGGTCTTATTGAAGAACAATTAAGATATTTTAAACTGACGTCCTGCAACATACTCTTGCATATCTGTGATGTAGTACATTATGAAATTTTACAAATGTAATGCTAAAGAAAATGAATCTCGCCAAATATTTTGAATATATTTTAGCGTGTTAGAAGTTGCTAGCTTGCCCACAAATTTTACAAATTCAAAAACAACTTTTACTGTGTCAGATTCTTAGACATTTTAAGCAGTTTTTCAATTTTATTTTAGAATGGCATTTTGCTTAAGTAATTAAGCACAAGGACAACTTTTAACCTTTATGGTTTACTTTTTGCTTGCACACCAGCTAGATATTTCATCTTATGAATGGTTTTGCTACCAAGAAGTACTTTTATATATTAGATATTGTTCTACTCTCGTTGATTTTTTCGTCTTCCCATGAAATGTGGGTTGTGTTTTTGTGTTTTGTGAGCACTCAAGACAGTTGTATAGTGCAATCTCTGAGAGCTTATCAGTCAGCAGTTCTGATTCACACAAAGTTAGTGAATTGGCAGCATGTTAAAAAATATTGCAGAAAGATACCAATGTTGATATATTTTAATTTTAAAAGAATATTATTACACTGTGCTTATAACATAAACCATGTGTTTGCAATTATCATGGCAATTTAAACTTAAACATTGAATATTTTAGCCACATTTCATATGTATGGTGAATGCCTAGTAACTTTTTGTTTCTGTCCGTGTATATGTAACAACAATCATATTGGTGAATGGATTTTGTTGAGATTTTGTATTACAGGCAGTTGCCGAAATCGTCATCATGGATTAGGCTGTTTAATATGTTATGGCTTTATGACGTCATGTAAAAACTATGAAATTATAACTGTGAAATGTGTTTAAACTTATTTCATTTAAAACTTGAAAGTGGCTCTCTGTTGCATCCTTGGGACATCCCAGATCCTTCTTTGGATTGACATTCAACTAATACAGGAACTTCCCATCTGTGCTACTTGTTCCAAACATAATATTTTATAATCTTATTCTTCATTAATATCAGCTGTTTTCTTTTATTTTATTGATTTGGTCAGATGGCCAGAGTGTACTGAATAAGAATTTGTGGTTAAGTAGGGACTCCAGTTGCTTGGGTTGTGAAGTGAAATGTTCCCTCACTGTGGGTTATAAATGAGGAAGGCTTGTTCAGAGGCCTGGAAATGACAGTTTAATCACTGGATCACCTGTTACCCTTACTGTGTGGAGTAGGCATTTTGTGTAATGCAGACACTACAAAGAACCTGAAATGTACTAGCCATATGACGTTTCTTGAGCCCTCTAATTCATCTCTCTTTCTGTATAGAGCATCATGTTATGAAATGGCAAGTATCTACTTAACTGAAACGTTGACCCGTGGCTCCTTTCCTTGGGATTGTTAGATGAATCGCTGTAAGGAAGCAGTGGTTTTCTTTCAGACGGTATAACAGATCAGCACATGCTCACAGTATCCTGGCAGCCACCACTCCCCCTCTCAAACCACCTTGAGTGAGTAGTGGAACAAATTTGGACCCTGAAAATCTTTTATTTACAGAACTTAATGTAGATGAATTTTTTTGATTTCAGAATAATAATCAATCAGACTAGTGTACAGTGTAGGTAAAGATGTAGGAATTGTAATCATTTGCACATTATTGCAGAGTTAGTATATTAAATGGTGTCTGGGGATAATATCTGAGGTTCTCAAGAGTGGTGAATATGAAGAATGTCATATGAGATGACATTGTGTAGTCTGTTATAAGTTTGCAACGTTTTGGAGGAATGTACTGCTACCATCTTCAGGGTCTAAGACTGGAAGCAAGTAAACAAACAGGAATGTTGGCTTCTGTTTCGAAGTAGATAATTTTGGTGACATGCACTATGTGATATATTGGTTTCCCAATAGGGAGACAGCTTTCCGCATAGGAAGTTCATAGATGCCGGTAAAGTTGGATTTCTGTTTTGACCATTACAATAAGCCTTGAGTATTGGAGGCAAGCGGTAAGATTTGAAGTACTTCAACCGCCTCAACCGTTGGAATTTCAAGATGGTGGTGAGTCATGGAGTTAGTTTATTCAAATTTAATTTGTGTTTTGAAGCGTTCTATAGATACTGGCTGGAGATACACTGGGAGGCTAGTGGAGTTCAAATGTTATGATACCATAGAAGTAAATATAGATGTTAGGCTTCATATGTCATTCTATGTATTGATGTATCTAGGTGTGTTTGTGGATGACGCCTATGTATATGCAGCTGAGAGCAAAGAAGGGTATATTCCAGAACACTGCAGCGAGGTCTGGATGCAATTGAGACTTGGTGTGAGCGCTAAAAAAAAAAATGAAAATAATGCTGGAGGTATCTGTTTATGTCAGAGAGATCGGTTGAGGCTCATTGCACATTGAACGTACGAAGGACCCCCTTCGTGAGTCATAGAATATCTGTGTCTGTTTTGGTAAGAGGTTTAGATACAGAAATGATTGAAGCCAATGCCCTCACAAAATTTATTAGAGCATGTCCTTCATTAAAAAGTGAGCAATTAAGCTCTAAGATAACTGCACCATCCACAGAGCATTATTTATGTCTGCAAAGATGTATGCTCGCCTGCCCACGTTTCTAAATTGCTGCGCCTAGAAAACAAGGTTCTCCACAACAACAGTGATATCCCAAGGCGTACACTGGTCAGCAACCAGAAGCTAAAAAGATCATGAAAATGCAAATGTTAGGAATATTCGATAAGGCGAAGCCCAACAGAACACAAATTTTGTGGCGGTGAAGCTTATGATCATTGAGGTGGCTAAATTGCCAGTCTAGCGTGAGCTAATGAAAATAAGGCAGAATCTGTTG